GATTTGCCCTATAAATCTTCTGCTACTTCTTCATTTAGACATAACCTCAGGGATCTGAGGCAGAGAAGGGAAAAGAGAAGCTTGATAGTACTAATTAGGAGAACGAAGCTGATGGGAGAAATTGGATGAAAGACAGAAAGGAGAATGTGATAGAACAGGGGTTATGAAGGTGAAGCTGGAGACAAAGGTGAGGTGCAAGGGAGGAATACTGGCAGTCATGGTTAAAGGAGTTAGAGCACAGAGAAACAGTTGTGAGGAGGTCTTGAGCAGAGCCTGGTAAAAATGAGACGGGCTGAGACGTATTCAGGTGAAAGAACAAAAGTTTAAATCATGAGATTTGAGGACACCAATTCTGACTGCTCTGGGGAACACCACCAATAGGTGGTATGAAAGCTCATGCATTCTTGCTGTTTTCCATCTATCTTTGAAACCTGTGTATGAGTGTTTCTCACTCCACTTCCTGTGCTAGTTCATGGTGATAGCTTGCTGTTCCTACAGAATCCATCCTGTGTTTACACAACAGGAAGTTCTGAAATGCATTTTAATACTTCTGGTGCCAAACTCTGCAGACATCTCAAAAATTTTCTAGATGGAAATGATTTCAGGTTTTAAATTGCAAATGAGGCAAGCTTTGCGCTGACAGCGTTGATTTATAGCATCTTTCACGTTTTGAGTGGCTGGTTTTGCAGCTTTACCATTTTTCAAAGTTTCTGTGTGTCAGCCGATGTCAGTATACATTCAATATGTGCAACAATTTTGCATGGTTGATTATCCAAATATCTGTAGATTCTGCTGCTTAGTGGAAGGCTGCTGTAAAACCATTTATGTTCTGATCCTGCTCCAAATATTTAGTGCCTTTAAAACCCAGATCCAAAGCTCCTTAGGATTCATCTCCACCCCATAACTTCCTTCAGCATTTGAGTTCATTCTTTGCTGTAGGTGTTCACCAGTATAAGATAAACCAAGATTTTAATCTAATAGGTCAATAAATAAAACTTCTATGAAATACTGACATGGCATTAGAGAGAGGCAGTCATCAGGAATACAAATAAGCTACTCACTGGTTGAATTGCCACTTTCCCTGCTATGGGAGAAGAGCATCTGCCAAGTGCTAAGACTGTTGATTATTGATGTTAAAGGCTGAATGCCCTCTATCAGGGCCATGCTTCAGTTGGTAGCTGGGGACTGGTACTGATTGAGAAAAGGAGGGGGGGAAAAAAGGTAATCAAAGTGTACTTGGTATGTGCAATAATGGTGGAGATAAGAGGTCTGTTTCTGTTGCTGAAGTCAGTAGGGATTTGCTACTATCTTCCACACAGGGCCTCTGGCACAGTAGGAACAGTTCTGTTCATGGATCTGGCCAGCATGTCTCCACATTAGACATTAAGCACTCTAACTATTTGAAAGAGAAACAAAGCCACTTAATATTGTTTTAGAGGATCCCCACCTGTTATAGTGTAATAATTCTGCAACCATTGAAACTTTCAGCCATCAGTAGGGGAAAACATTGACTTTTCTGTTCCCTAGGGACTTATCTATGATGGCAATTAAAGACTTCCTATTAACCACATGCTAAGTGTATCTGCTTTTCTCTCTAAGTGATATTAGTGATGGATATTAGCCAGTATTTTTACAGTATTTTGCAGTTCTGCAAAAATCTTCAGTATCAGGTCTGAAGTCACCAGGTTAAATTTTCTACAGATCTACTTTACTATTGATATACTTCTTAAACTCTTTTTTATTATTTTTTCAATGAAAATGAAAAAAGGTACAAAATCAATCACAAATTTCCAACTCTATTCCTATAAAACTTGACTCCCAGTTTCTCAGGCAACTCTCAGGCTGCTAATCTAAACAAATTCAAAATCATAAAATCATGTTTTGGTTTTTAGTTTTCTTTCAGAAGATTAGTGTGGCTTTAATTGCAGCTAAAATGCATCTCTATTTTATATTTTCCACCTTAGTGACAACTTTGTAGTCTATATTCAAATATATTCTCTCTGTATAGTTGTATATATTTATTGATATGATTCTATCCTTACAGCATCTTCTATCATTTTAAATTATAAATTAGAGATTTTTCTTTAGATTTTAATTACGTAGAAGCTAGCTTGCAAGAGGAATTAGGAGAGACCCACCTGGTAGCAAAATAAATTGCGTACTCTGGATCCTCCTGGCACAGTCTAAGGCTGCCGGTTCCTAATTTCACATCCAAGATTCCAATCCCAGAGGCAGAAAGTTCAGTTTACTCTGGACTGGAAAGAATCCCTGCTCTGTGTCCCGTGAGTAGAAAGACAAGCACAGTTCATCTTTCTGATGGGCACTCCCTTATGGGAGAAAGATTGTATCTTCCGGAAGAGCTTTAGCAGTTATTAGGTCACTGGTTTTGTGGAGGTCATGCCTGCTCCTTCATGTTGCAGCTGATAGAAGTAGAAAATAAAAATAAAATAAAAATTAGTCTTTAAAGCTCTTATCATCTCCAGTAGCTTTTTATGTGGTTCCCCCATCTTCCTTTTAGTCTTCTTAGTGTATGTGTGTATCATTTTTGCTGAAGGAAGAGAGATACAAAACTATAAAGATAACAGACTTTATTTCCTGCAGTTCCTGCTTAAGATGAATGACCTTCTTGCTACTTAAAGTTAACATCAATCAGGTAAAGAGGAAAACTTCATTACAATCCTTTTTGAGAAGAGCTGTTAATTTAGTCTAGTTGAATACATTCATTTTTCATGCTTTCTAAGCTATATTGGTGATCTAATCATAATCTGGACACACTAAAGACCTGGAAATATTTCTGCCAATGCCTGTCTATAATGTCTTCACATCCTGACATAATTGTGTACAGGCTTCTACATGCAGGGTGAATAAGTGTGATGGTTTCTGCTGCTTAAAAAAAAAGTAAATTTTTATCAGCTTTGTATAATTGCATTTTTCACAGCACTGTCAACTGGGAAGAGTCTTTGACAAATCAGTAGTGCTCAGATTAAGCTTAAGATCTGGTACATCAACAAAATGGGCAACTCTTATCTGAATAAGGGAAAATAATCAGATTAAGCAGGAAGGTACTGTGGCAGTTTACTATGATAATTAGTGTTATAAGTATGCATAGAAACACATTGTTTGCCTTTGCAGTGACCAGCCTGACAGCACTGGAACAACTATAGATTTTCAGCTTCTGCTTATTCCACTGTTGTTGTTGCTAAAAGTCGGATACATAATTTGCATTTTGTTGCGTTATTATTTCTTTGTAAACCTCAGAAAAAAAAAATACAATTTCCATCTATAAATAGATCGTGGAAACTGGAAAAGCTCCCATTCAATGTGTATATGGGAAAGAGGTGAAATAATTTAGTGTCATGGCTATTACTCATAGGCCCCCCTGTGAAAGATGGAGAAAGGAGGGGCAGCACTGGAACACCCAGATCATGTTAAAATTGTAGAATCATATAAAATATGATTGCCAAAAGAAAGATTTTTTTCAATTGGAAACTAGACAACTATTTCAAAGATGACAATCATTTTATGGACACTGATTAGCCTTCCATGTTGATTGAAACATGTATGACAAATCACACATGCATATTCTTTTAATGTATGAAGATTTACTTGATAGTGTTATCAATGTTCTTCTGTCAGATATACATTTATCGAAGAAGAAATGGGTAATGGAAAATTGTGTTAAGTGCCCCCTCTGTTAACAACCAGCTTTATCATGATTGAAGACCACGACAGCGAACAGACTTACACATTCTTATGGCCTTTCTAACCCAACTGCAATTGCAGTGGTAAAGCCAAGTGAACACAAGTATTAAAGGTTACTTTTCTGTAGTTAAGATCACTAAAGACCATACATGTGATACTTTAAAAATTAGCTATATAAAAATAAGTAAGTTGAGGAATCAGTATGCTTTACGTGGAAATAAGGGAAGCTATTGATGATGATGTACAAATATATATTTTTTTTAACCTTTAGCAAATGTTCAGAACTGCTTGTTCCACATGTGCTTTTGTGATCTAACTTTAGGATGGAGAAGTTATTTTTAAATTCAGATCTAATAGGCTTGCAAAATCATCTACTGCAACAAAAACTGCACAGGTTAAAAAAATCAGAAAATGCCTGGAGACTATCTTGCATCTTATGACTTAAAGCAAACCAATGGCTTGGTTCAGGTCAGATTTTCTAAGACAATCTAACATATTTTAAAATACATATCTTATTATGTTTCAGATTGTTTTTAATATCTTGAATGTTTTGGGTTCAGGTTCCTCATTTAACTGACCATGGTAGTGTGTGGCTTCACCCTGAAGCAGTGAAGCAAACTAACAAGTGGAATGAGATAACTGAACTTCCTTAATAAGAAAAGTAAAGAGGGTCTGCATACACCTATACCGGTGACCTAATACTCAGAAATACACCATATACTTCTCAGCTCAAATTATTTCATTACATTTCTACTGTGGATTGGACTGGACGGGTTTCCAAGAAATTTAGAAACGGTGATACAAGTCATTTTGGGAGGAAGGGGGGGGTGGAAGTCACACAAAATGAAAAATCTGTTCTTTAAAAAGAACGTTGAATTTTGTGTTTTTACTGAAACAATTATCACACCTTCCTCAGGAGTTTCATCAAACATGTTGAGAATGGAACACCAAATGTATGTATTTGTCATACACGTCAGCTAACCATTTGCAAGCTATCCCTAGAAGACGTTTTAGGGTGTTAGACATGCAAGGTGTTGCACATAAGTCAGGACAATCCCAAACAGGAGTACAGTCTAGGAGAAAAACTCATTGAGAGCAACCCTCTGGAGGAGGGCTTGGGGGTTCTGATAAATGAAAGGTTTGACGCAAACCAGCAATGTGTGCTTGCAGCCCAGAAGGCCAACTGCATCCCAGGCTACATCACAGAGTAGAACAGTCTCTTCCAACCTGAGCGTTTCTATGATTTTACTTAACTTAAAAAAATTCTATTTTGTAATTTCATTTTCCTTTTGTGGCAGGTACTACAAGAAAAGAGCTTCAAGCAGGTTTGTTTGAAGTATTTTAGTATTCTTTTGTACAATTCATTTAAGTATATATAATTATAAGCAGCCTTCTATTTAATTTCATCTAAGCAATCTGTTGGAGTTACCTTATTATCTCAGAAACACCTAGAGATGAAAAAAAAAAAAGAGGTTCACTATTTTATAAACATCTTAAGGTTTTAGATGAGTTCTTTTCTTTCAAAAAGAATAGTGAACATTTCCTGCAGTTCCTTTTTTTGAAATTGTTCTTCATTTTTCCTTAATTTTGGAGAAACTTTAAAAGTAGAATACTTATTCCACAACTTTCACATAGACCTTAAAAATACTGAGATGTCAGCTTTAAGAACTTATTTAAAAAGACAGTTCTCTTGCCATAATGAAGTGCACAGATACTCATATCCTTTATGCTTCTCTCCAGTCTTTCCAGAGTATGAAAAAATCATCCTGTATAAAACTGTACAAGAGCTCTTTCTCCAAGTACATGTTTATACTGGATATATAATGGAAAATCTGAAAATACTTAGAAAAAATATTAATAGGCTACATATGTTTTCAGCACTTGAAAGCCAAACTGTGGTTGTTGGCTTACAGACTGTTACAAATTTCTAAATTAGGAAAACCTAAAGATATTGTATTTCTGACTTCGTTTCCTGTCTAGCAGCTTTTTTTCATCCATCTGCTTTGTTCTGTGTTGTACTAAGAGCAGAAACTTTACATTCATTTAATGTAATACATGTGCAGAAGAGATTCCAATGCTTTGAAAACCTCTGGGTTTTAAGAGCAATATAGTTTTATATATACTAATAAAAAATTATTAATACAAAATTTTGAAAATAATTGGTAGTAAAAGGTCTTATCAGAAAAACTTTTTCCTTATACTTTGAACAGATCGTTTCTGCTTCATAATTTTGGGAGAGGGATAAAGAGTCTGTTCATTTGTTTACCTTAATATTATGAAAATCAGAATTACATACTTCTTTACTTGTCACCTTCTGAACCTACTCTGAAATGAAGTTGGTCTATGAAAGTTTTCACTAGAGAAAAATATTTCAGTTTTGAACCACATACTGTGTCAAATCAGGGACTACATTAAATTAATGCTAGCATCAAGTATCTCTTGAGACTTAGTCCTACTTCTCTGTAGTTGATATTTTTACCACATTTTTTTTGTCACTGACTTAAACCAACACAATGACTATAGATGCAAGACTTCAGTAACTGTTTACATTCACTTTGGTTCTTTTGAATTTACATTTGTAATAAGCAGTAAGAACTAAAAGATTAAACCCACTCTTTAACAAGTATATTGTATATCTGTTTTTACCTAGTATGTAGTTGCCTGTAAATTACAATTTCAATAATGCATTCTCCAGTGTGGCCACAAGAACCGTACTGCATGACTGATGGTTCTGAAGTAAGTTACAGTTTAAGCAGAAAATAGCTGTATTTTTTTCTGCGTTAAACTAGTGAATTTCAACAAATATCCTTAATTCTTGGGAAAGCTATGGATGCACTTAGACTGGAGGTAGAGGGGTGAGGGAAGTGTTCTTTTTTCTTCAGTTCTTCCCATCTGTGAGATGATTTTGCTCTCTTGCAGGGCCTAAATGATAGTTGAAAGAGGCTCAGGAACAGGTTAACTGAAAATAGTAGTATAAGGTAGGGGCAGCAAGAAATAACAGAAGACTGAGGAAGAAAAAAATTGAAAGAAAAGGACAAAAAAAAATGGATTAGAATGAAAACATAGGTGTCAGGAGGAGAGGAGAAAGCAACCAAAAAATAAAGAAAGGAATAATAAAATCAGAGTAAAAATAATACTTGATATTAGATCTTTTCCATCCATTCCACTTGGTTTGAAATATTTCATATAGCTCTTCATCTTACATAGTAAAACAAACAAACAAAAAAAACACAACAGTGACAAAAAATAAAAGATGTAAAGCAATAAAGAGAAATTATGGTTATGAAATATTCATATAGAATTTGTGTAAAACACTGCTTTTACAGGTAAAAATTACTTGTTTCCATTTGGGATTGTCATAATTCCGCTTGGTATTTTTGTCACATGTCCATGGCAAAAAAATAATTTCATAACAATCTTGTTTAATCAATTAAAATGTTTAAAATGAAACATTTTAATATTAATTATAATTACATAATAAAGGCTTAGTATTTTAAAGCATCTAAGCAAGAAGTTATGTTTGTAATCTGGATATGTGGAAGAGAAACTTGCATCTGAATTATATATCAGATGATTGGAAGCACCTTGTTTTCTGTACTCCGATAAATTTAGGCTTGCAAAATTGATGAGCTATTTAGTTCTCCCAAAATAGTCTGGATCTTGATCTTGTTCGGATGGAAGTCACTTTCTGACTCGTGTTTCTGTTTTGTTCCCCTTGTATGTGTGCTAGAAAATAACATTTTCCACATCCATGTTTCTTTTTTGACAGCCTGGCTCCCCATCACTTTCAGCATTTACCTTTTTATTCCTTTCCTTTTCTTGCTTCCTGCTTATATTTGGTCTCTTCTCATTCCATATTCAAATATGTTCCAACATCATTAATTTTGTTGTGATGTAGAACCCAGAATCAGGCTAGATGAACACAGATGCAATGGCCATCCCTGATTGGCCTAAATGGATCAGCTGTTTGTGGGAGTGAAACAATGTGGAAGGTCATCAACTGATGCAAAAGCTGTTTCTGAAAAAAATAAAATAAAATCATGTTTCTGAAATATCAGTTTATGGAGATGAAATCTTAACATTCTATGAATTTTTAAATATTTGGTAATAGTGACAAGATTATCAATTAGCAAGGAAATCAGCCTAACTGTCAGGTGCTTCAGCATGTTTTCTTCTGAGCTGTGAGTTATGAGGATTTCTCCAAGGACATAAGAGGCAAGTTTATAAAGTGGAAAAATAAATAAATAAATAATGCTATCCATGTAGATAAACAATGTGTAGACTTACAGGTAAATATTTAAAGGGCAAAAAGAAATGTATGAGTCTGACATATTTCTACAACTCAAAACTGATCAATTATTTTCTTTACCAAAAACAAGAAACTGCTGTAGGTTTTGAGCAGTAATTAAAAATAAACAAAACACACATTTCTTAAGGTTGTATAATCCAACAACTGTGTGAGAATACCTTTCTCAAAGTCTTAGTCTTGGTGAATTGGTGATGCTGTGGTGTGTGACTGGTTGGACTGACCCACCTTCTTAAATCAGACCCCTGAGGCTGGCCATTCTGTAAGCAGGCTGCCTGAATGAAGGGTAGAGCTCTGCACAGTGTTTGAGGTGGGGATCTTCTCAAACCACTTTGTAGGGAAGAAGCGATTAAGTTTATATCTGAACAAGGAATCGAGTGTGCCCTAATAGGTTACCAAATTTTGGCTATCTTGCAAGATTATAGTTTTCTACTTCATAAAGAAGTACCAAAGGCCAAAAAGTTCCTTTTTCCTTCAAATGAATTATATAAAGTCTGGTACCTTACAAAAAGGCAGATTTGATTTCAATTTGGAATTAACATGAGGGCACTTAAAAGATAAGAGGAACTGCTCAGAAGCTTAATCCTGAATATTTCACTCAAAATGTTGACACTTTAAAAAAAAAAAAAAAAAAAAAGACATTTACATGTCTCAAGAAAGAACAGATTTAGTAGTTAAAAATACTCCCTCTATTCTTTCATGAGATGAATGGTGGGATAGGAAGCTGGTCTACGCACTGTTAAGTTGCACTGATTGTTTAAAACATTTTTTTTATGATCTAATGTTGAACCTGGCTGCATCTGTCATAGTGGAGCACTCTACAGACAGTTAAAATAATACAATCCAAATTCACTACCTGTGCTGTTCAGGTACAAGGTTTTCCATCCTTGTAGCAAAGGGGTAAAAGGTGAAATCTTATTCTGCCTCTTGAAGCTGTGAGGTGGTTCCCAGAGCACAGCTGAAGCTACTGCATCTTGCCTTCTACAAGTCACTTTTGAGCAGGTCCAGCACTGCCTCTGAAGGTCATAGGAAAACCTAAGACTTGTCTCACTCTATGCTTATAGAGAAAAGGAAATGTGTCCCAGAACATAAATCAATTCATCCGGCAGGTATTAATCAAAATTGTCTTTGTCAGAACAAAAAGAATGAAAATTTTCAGAAAGAATGAAATTACTTTACATAGGAAGGTCCTAACATTTGAAGGCATTCAGGCACAGGAGAGCTGTGAGAAGCCTGCTTGGAAGAAGGAAAAGACAATGAAGCGGATGCAGCCTTCAGACCAATAGCTGTAATGCACACAGCAGAACTGAGTTCTTGCTATGAATATCTATAAACTTTATTTAGAAACTAAAATGCTCCCCCTTTACTACCGGTTTGTCAGTAGTTTTCTTCTTTTTTTCTTATTTTTGTACCTATCTGCTTACTGTTAAGGAGCTTCTTGTTACTCTTTAACAGTGTTAATAGGATCTGTGTCAGGTAGGCAGCTGAAGGAGAACACCTAGTGCAATGGTACTTAGTGACACATACCATTGTGGCCTCTGCATGTATTAGAACTACTTAACACTTTGATGTGTAATAGGAAAATTCTTATACTGCCATTTCAGCAGAGATGCTTAAGAGAAACAAAGACTGCTAGAACTGCACAATTTGCAGAAAATAACTTCATGCCCTTGTTATTGCCTGGAAACATAGATTTTCAAAGAAAAAGCTACCAGGATAAAAGAGAATAGAAAATGAAAGGAGCATGCATTCCCTAGAAAAAGCCGTATCTTAAATTTCTGTAGTGATTATTTCCACACATTGGCATTTGGAAACTTGCTTATTGTTTTTTCCTTGTGTAGTCCACAAATGGATCTGTGATTTTAAACAGGGATACATGGGAATGATCCTGTTAAGAGAAGAAAGTGGTAAAACAAAGAAAACCTTAAAAAGCATTGGCAGAAAATAATTATGCCTAATGGCAAAAGAAAACATACAGCTTAGAGATTGTGCAATATTATTGAAAACACAGCAGGAATG